ACACACTCTCTCTCTCTCTCTCTCTCTCTCTCTCTGTGTGTCAAAAATAAATAAACTTAAAAAAAAAGATTAAAAAAATAAAGATTTGATGTATGTTTTAAATCTAAGGTTCTTCTTCCATTCCTTTTCTTTTTTCCTTATAACGTAGTTGTTGTTGAACCTGAACTGTTTGACCCGTAGTTTCACAGAGCCTAAATATGTGTTCATCAGACTTCTAAGAAATTATCATTCCCCTATAGAGAGAGCCTTTTTAGACAATTTTTCCCCCTAACCCTCCCCATTAATTACTAAGGAATAAGATTTTGCTGGGTGAAACTGAATTTTGAAGAGTCACAAGCCATTGTAACACCTTAAGATCTTTTCACACTCTTGCAAAAGCACTCCCATTGAGAATACATGGTCTGGATTGCATACTTAGGGTGCAATTCAGAATTTCATTTTTTTCCTGGAGCTTCTATTCTAAAAATGTGGCTGAGTCCAGATCCTTCACCAAACTCTGGTTCAATCTCTCACAAGGCTGTAGCTAGTGTGTTCTTTTCTCAGAATGCGCTTTTGTCTTGTCTCTGTGATGTTAACAGCCAGTGATTTGCAAGGTCTAGATCCAGTAATTCATTAAGGATTACAAAATGATCGTATCTTAATTGAATTTTTTAATTGATATTGGAATACTTTTATAAAGAAACCATTTTCTTACCCTCTATTTGGTTATCCAGTGATTTATAGTTTATATAGGAAAGACAAGAAAATACCTGAATCTGTGCCTTGATTTTACCAATTTTAAAGATAATGTATCGGTTGATATCATACTTTGAAAATGACCTGTTAAAAAAAAATTATTGGGGCACCTGGGTGGCTCGGTCAGTTGAGTGTCCGACTTCGGCTCAGGTCATGATCTCATGGCTCGTGGGTTTGAGCCCCGTGTCGGGTTCTGTGCTGATAGCTCAGAGTCTGGAGCCTGCTTCTGATTCTGTGTCTCCCTCTCTCTCTGCCCCAACCCACCTGCATTCTCTCTCTCTCTCTCAAAAATAAATAAACATTAAAAAAATTTTTAATCATTACGAACACTTGTATATATTTTCTTCAGAGAGTCATGTCATATTATTATGTTTATTGGTGCTCAGAATGTTCTATGTTTGGCCAATGGGCACCTCTTCAGAACTTTTTTTTTCTTTGAGTCATTCTGACAGGACCCAGTCTTTGATAGGTAGTTTTTGATAGTTTCCGTGATATGTGATGGGACAAGATGTTGTAGGCTCATTTTGTACATTTCTTGCTTCAGATATGGAATTAGTAATTTCTCCCCAAAATCCCTGGTTTCTTTTGGTGGGAAATAGTATTTCAAGACCATAACTTAGGGGCGCCTGGGTGGCTTAGTTGATTAAGCATCTGACTCTTGGTTTCAGCTCAGGTTATGATCTCACGGTTTGTGAATTTGAGCCCCACATCGGGCTGTGCGCTGATGGTGTGGAGTCCGCTTGGGATTCTCCCTCTCTCTCACTCACTCTCTCTCCCTCTCCCCCCCACCCCCACAAATAAATAAACTTTTAAATCAAGACCATGATCTAGGCACTACAGATACTGATTGCTACAAGTAAATTGTTGTTTTCAGGCCTTTCTTTTTTTGTGTGTGCAGAACTAAAATATTTTCGTTCACACTAGTATTTATAACTTAAGTTTAAGACTATTAGGGTTTTACTTCTCTATAAGTAAAATTTCTTTTTTCCACATGGAGAATCTTGATTCTCAAGGACATAGGGATTAATAGAACTAGAATACTCCATAACTCCTACTAGTTTTTTTATCTTATATGCACACAGCTATCAGAATGAAAGTCTCAGAACATCACAACCAATATGATTACATTCCTTTAAAATTTTGCATATGCTTCCCCTCCCCATAGTTTTTATAATTGTACTGTATTGTTAGATTTTAGTTAGCATTTAATCTTTGTGCTACAAGTAATTACACATTTAATGTTCACTACCAGTCTTCGTGGTGGTGTCTTTAGTCATTTTGGTTGCCTGAAGTTTATTTTTCTGTCAATTCCTCAGGAAGGACCTGTAGAAGCAATCAGTATTCCATAGGTTCTTATATGTTGATATATTTGTGCCCCTTTTCTTTGAAATTATTTTTGCTGGATAGAAAATATCTGGCTCCCATTTAAAAAAAAATTTTTTTTGAGAGAGACTGAGAGGGGAAGGAGCAGAGTGGGAGAGAGAGAATTCCAAGCAAGCTCCACACTTAGCGTGGAACCCGACGCAGGACTCACTCCCACAACTCTGGGATCATGACCTGAGCTGAAATCAAGAGTTGGATGCTCAACCGGCTGAGCCACCCAGGTGTTCTCTGGCTCCCATTTTTTAAAAAAAGAATTTGACTCCATTTTTCTAATGGCATAAAGCATCACTGTCAACGTCTATTATTAATCTAATTTTCATTCTTCTATATGTCTCAAGCCCAGGTCCTAAAGAGACCTCTTTTCTTTAAAGTCCTGTAATTTCACTAGAATGTGTCTTGATGGTTGTCATTTTGGGTGAGGGGTTTTTTGTTTTAGGTATATACGGGGTTGTTTCAAAATGTGGTCTTTTAACTTTTTTTTTAAAGTTTAATTATTTGGAGAGCGAGAAAGAGAGAATGTAAACAAGCAGGGGAGGGGCACAGAGAGCATCCCAAACAGGCTGTGTACAGTAAGGGCAGAGCCTGACACAGGGCTCGATAACATGAACTGTGAGATCATGACCTGAGTTGGATGTTCATCTGACTGAGCCACCCGGGCGCCCCTCAACATTTTCACGTTTGGAAAATTTTTTTTTTACATTTCAGTTTTTAGTATTCTCTTCCCTTTTGAGTTATTCAAGAGCTGCTGTTTGTTATGTTACACAGTCTTGGCCTTGATTATTTATTTGTTCCTTTGTCTCTTTATTTTTCTATTTAAAACTTTCCTCTTTTCACCTTTTAGTTCTTCTAAGCAGTATGTGTTGTGTTCATTCACACTTGTGTTCCTTCTAATTTTGTGTTCACTCCTAAAGCTTTTTTTCCTTTTATTTCTAATTCTTTCCTGAGAGCTGTCGTTCCATTTGAGTTTTTTTAGTTTTGATTTATGTTGTTTTATGGCTTATGCACTTTTTAAGTGTCCTTTAGGTTGTCTCCTCTTCCTGGCATGTATTCATTAATTATAGGGATGTTGTTTTGCTTCTTGTTTTTCTTAGAACTTTATATGAGCTCTGACATCAGCTCTCTTCTTTGCTCATTTGTAATGAAATTGGTTTTCTTGGACTTCCAGGAGAGTAGTTTGGGATAGCTTTTCTAGCTTCACCGAACTCCTTTTTCATGCAGTGTTCAAAATACGATACCTTGCTTTTTGAGATTTCCTGGCTTTGTCCTCTGTTCTCATGTAGACCTGCCTTCTCTCCTTTCTTTCTGTTGTCTCTTTTTACTCAATGTCACTCTTCCCAGCTTTTCATCTTGTAAGGGAGCCCTGCTAGATCAGGTTTGAAACTTTCTGGGTCCTAGGCTGCTTCACTCCTCCCAGACCTTAACATGCATCCCTTGCATTCACCCACTTTTGAGCTGAGCAAACCCCTTCCTGGTCTTCACAGCTTTCTCAGATTAGCCTGTGTGCTTTTCAGTGGATACCTGTTGGTTGTCTGGGGCTTATCCTCACGTCTGAATGATTCCGTTGTTTTCTGAGGCACAAATGGTACTTCAAAGATCATGTGGCTCTTGGTGATTTGTCCTCACGGGCTCATATTTTGGGGTTTAAGTTATTCTTAGCTTTTTTTTTTTTCTAACTTGGAATTTTTGTAATTCTTTTTTTAATGTTTATTTTTGAGAGAGAGAGCGCTGGTGGGGTGGGGTGGGGTGGAGGGTGGGGGGTACAGAGGACCTGAAGCAGGCTTCACTCTGACAGCAGCGAGCCCAATGTGGGGCTCGAACTCATGAACCATGAGATGATGACCTGAGCTGAAGTTGGACGCTCAGCCGACTGAGCCACTCAGGCGCCCTGGAATTTTTTGTTTTTAGATGAAAATAAAAGCTTAGTTCAAAAGCTGTGGTGCTGCCATCTTGTCAGAATTCCTTTGTGGTTTCAGTTTACATTACTCTGATGTCTCATAATATTGGGCACTTTTTCATTTGTTTACTGGCCTTTTGGGTTTCCTCAAGGTACTCAACATTGGGAGTTCAAATCTTTTAGCTCATTTTTCCTTTAAGTTGTCTGGTTTGTTTTTCAATCAGCATGTAAGCATTCTTCATATTTGTTGCATAGGAGCCCTTTGTTATGTGTATTGCAGATTTTTTCTCCTGTTGGCTTGCCTTTCATTCTTAATTTCTCTGGTGGGGGCACCAGGATGGCACAGTCAGTTAAGTGTCTGACTCTTGGTTTCATCTCAGGCCATGATGATAGCCATTCTAACAGGGTTCAGATGATAGCTTGTGGTTTTGATTTGCATTTCCCTGGTGATTAGTGATACTGAGCACCTTTTCATGTACCTGTTGGCCATTTGAATATCTTACTGGAAAAATGTCTATTTAGGTCCTTTGCCCATTTTAAAATTGGATTACTTGGTTTTGGCTATTGAGTTGTGGGAGTTCTTTGTATATTTTTGTGTTTGAACCCCTTACCAGATATTATGAGTTGGAAATATTTCCTCTCATTCTATAGGTTGCTATAATGGAGTTTTTAAGTGTATTTTTTTTATTCTTTATTTGTTCCATCTGTTCTTTAATCCTTTATTCCTCTCTTATATTTCTTATGCAATAATTAGTTATTTTTTAATTATTCTTTTCCCCCACCATTAGCTTTTTTGTTATGCATTCTTTTATTATTTTCTTTAGTGGTGTTTTCACCATAAGCTTAGAATGCTACCTTGACCAAATATGTGGGAAGAGTTTCGATAATCCCTCATTCTTAGTATTCTTTTTTTTCTTTTTCAGACCCTTTTGAATAGTCACCATGTTCAGATATTAGCAAGTACGTATGTATATGTCTGCATTTGAAAATGGCAGAGGGAAACAACAATGAAGAGGTAATTCACTTGAACAACTTTCACTGCCACCGGGGACAAGGTAAGTGTTCTCACTTTCTTCCTTTCATCATCGCTTTCTCCTTTTATGTTACAGTTACATAGTCTTTGGAATGAACCTATTTTGCACCTCGTAGAACCCAGTGACATTTCATTTTTAGACATCAGAACATCTGATGTAATGGACTCATCGGTCTAAAACTTTGTGTCAAATGGTAATACCTGCTGGCATGAATGAAGTTTAAAAATGTTTCCTCACAACTGGATTCGTAAGCTATTAATGAGCAAGCCAAAAAGAGCTGTGAATGTGCAGTCATTGGATCTTAGGAAGTGAAGTGGGAATATAGGAACAGTGGCAGTTCTGTTTTTGAAGAAATGGGGTCTTCAAAGGAGGGCTCCTCCAGGCCTGTATGCTCTAGCATACAGGTGATGCTGGAGCATTTTTGCCCCCTCATATGGTGCTTAATTTAATTTTTTGCCAGGAGATTCTGGTTGCCTTACAGGGAATTTTATTTTATTTTTAAATGTTTATTTTTGAGAGAGAGAAAGAGACACCAGGGAAAGGACGGGGAGGGAGGGAGGGGGAGAGAGAGCGAAAGAGAGAGAGAGAATGAGAATCCCAAGCAGATTCTACGCTATTAGCACAGGGCTCAAACCCACAAACTGTGAGATCATGACCTGAGCTGAGATCAAGAATTGGACGCTTAACCAATTGAGCTACCCAGGCACCCCCTTACAGGGAATTTTAGAACATGTATTCATTTTACAGTATTTAAAATTTGGGCAAGTTCATTGATTCTTAAAGGGAAAGGAGCCTGTATTTATGTAACATTCCTAAATGTATATGCAATTTTCTGTCAAATCCTACTTCACATTTACACTTTGGCTGAAAGGAAAAAATTCATGCTGATGAGTAGGGAAAAAGTATATTTTACAAGTATAGATTCCATGGAAGAAATTATACCATTTTTTGTTGCTGTTTTTTTCCTATTAATGTTTGTGCTTATGAAGATTATTTTTTTCCCAGTAGAGTGTAAATTATATACATTTGGCTTTCAGACAACATTAGAAGTTGAACAGATTTTATTAAGCAAATATATTGAGAAAAATAAATTAACATGCTTAAACTAGGCACATTATGAATGCAAAAGAAGTACTAATTTTTTTAGAATTTTATTATTAATAGTTTATTCTAATTTGGTAGCGAGTGTAACCATAATTCACTGTGATTGAGAAAGCTTTAAATCTTAGCTATAATTTGTATATGTGATCATTTCTAAAATTTTTCCACATGTATATCAAATTAATGTTGTAGTAGTGTTTTAACTGGGTTTTAAATATACTTGAACAGAATTTCAGAACATCTAATTCCTTTGAGGAAATTACTGACTTTGGAAGCATTTTTTTCTGTGAGACAAGGTTTATGTATTTTGCACCCAGCATGAGGATATTTTTTTAGGCGTGCAGCGTTGTTTTGTTTTTATTAGCTGTGGTGTTTTCACCATAATTTTTATTGTGCCAACCCCTGTAAGTTTTTTTTTTTAATTTTTAAATCATCTTTATTGAAGTATAATTTACTTAAATAAATGCACACATTTTAATTGTGTAGTTCAGTGAGCTTTGAAAAATGAATGTACCCATAGACCACCCATTTCTGTCCTACCACAAAGGTTCCTTTATGCCCCATCTGTGGTCAGTCCTCACCCCACTCCTGGCCTAAGGAGACCGCTGATCTGCTTCATATAAATGGAACTGGACAGTGTGAACCTTTATGCCTGAATTTTTCTGCCCAACAGAGTGGTTTGAGATTCATCCACGTTGCACGTATCAGTAATTAAATCCTTTTTAGTTGCAGAGTAGTATGTACCTAGAATTCTATATGCAGTGGAAATGGGCTTAAAAATGAAGGTAAAATAAAGGTTAAAAGTACAAGAATGAAAAAGATGGGTTATGCAAATCATAGCACAAAAAAAGAGCTGGTATGTCTGTGTTATCAGGTAAAATAGACATTTTAGCCCAAAGTATTAATATTAAGATAGAGTTCATGATGATAAAAGGGTTATTGCACTGGAAAGATAAAACATTTCTAACCTCTATACACTCAGTAACATGGTGTCAAAAGCAAAAATTGATAGAACTAAAAGAAGAAATGGATAAATCCACAATCAGAGTGGGAGATTTTAAATGTATTTTTCACCAACTGATGCAGGCATACGCAAACATTTGTATGAATATAGAACATGGAAGAACATAATCAACAAGTTTGACATAATAGATAGATGGTACTGCACCCAATGTATTTACCGAAATTGACCATATTTTGAGCCACCAAACAGAGTCAGAGGATTGAAATCATATAGATTATGTTCTCTAACCATGCTGGAATTAAGTTGTAAATCAATTACAGAAATATAATTAGAAAATCCCTGTACGTGGAAAACAAGAATACACTTCAGAACAATTTATGGTTCAAAGAAAAAGTCACAATGAAAATTAGAAAATATTTTTAATTGCATGGTAATGAAAATACAATCTTGAAGCTCATGAGATTCATCTAACTGAACAATCTAAACCAGAGCTCAGCAAACTTTTAAGAGCCAGCAAGTCACTATTTTTGCCTTATAAGTCATGTGGTCTCTGTTGCAGCTACTCAGCTATATGTTAAATTGAAGGCAGGGGCACCATGGTGGCCCAGTCACTTAGGTGTCTGACTTCAGCTCAGGTCACAATCACATGATTCGTGAGTTCAAGCCCCACATTGGGCATTGGGCTCTCTGCTGTCAGCGCAGTGCCTGCTTTGGATCCTCTGTCCCCCTCTCGCTGCCCCTCACCTACGTGTGCTCTCTCTCTCTCTCTCTTTATTTTTCTCTCTCTCTCAAAAATAAAAAGCATTCTAAAAAATTATTTTAAAAAAAGTGAAGGCAGCTGTAGATAATATATAAATGAATGAGCATGGCTATGCTCCAGTGAGGACAGGAAGTAGCGGGTACCATCCCACACTGCTGGTGGAAATATAAATTGGCATAATTTGGAAAATTATTTGGCATCATCCACTAAAATTGAACATATGCTTCCCATATAATTCAGCTCTTCTGCTCCTAGAACGTACCCAACTGAAATGAGCACACCAAGAGACGTGTGTAAGAATGTTCAGTATCCAAAATTGCCAAGACTGGAACCAACCCAAAAGTCCATTGACAGAAGAATAAATAACTTGTAATGTTGTCACGTGGTGGACTGCGGATAGCAGAGAGAGCTACTGCACATGCCACCACATGGATACGTGGAACCAGTATTTGCAAGAAAGCCAGAAATGAATGCATACTCAGAAACAGACACAACTAGTCTGTGGAGTCAGGAAGCTTTTAATGTACTCAAAATGTTGTATTTACTGACCTTGGTGATGGTCATCCAGTTGTGGGCCTTTTGTATTCATGAAGTTATATTTTTGATTCGTAGACTTTGTTACACTTTAGTTTTTTAAACTATTTTTTTCAAAGCCAGCGTGTTTATACATGGTGTGCTGGGGGAGTATTTTGCCAACCATTGGACCTCACTATGAGGTGAGAAGCTTCAAGCCAGCTTTTTCATTGGGTCTTCCAAGGTGGTCTATAAGTGTTTTTTTTTCTTGGACCAGTTCTTCCAGAGAGGAGTCTACAGTTTCCTGCATATGGAATCTAAGACTGGCTGCCAGCATTCTGGGAGCTAAGCAACAGAAAGCATCCAGGGCCTCGTTCGTTATTCTATTTCACGGGCGCCTCTTTCCTCTCTTGACCCTGTGCCTGGTGTCTAGTACTCTGCCTTAGTGTCTCTTCACAATGGGCCTCCTCAGGGTGGGGTTTTTGGAGTGGCCGAGGAGCTTGGCAAATTCTCTCCCCAAAACCAGTGATAAAATGAGACAAAATTGTCAAAAACAGCCATTTAATGACTGGAAATGACCAAAGGCATATAATGATTGAGAACATTCAGGAAAATCTAGAATTCTGCAGCATGTATTAGGCCAGCTCTGGTTGGTTGTCCCCCCTGCAGGCCGCGGGTTTGAGCCTTCTGCACTAACCTTTTTTAATGTTGAAGAAGTGGATGCTTGCTGAAGTTAGATAACAGCCTCATACGGCTGGCATATGGTAGAGCAGAGACTTGGACCTCGGAGGTCAAACCTTAGATTTTACAGACTTACCTGCTTTAAACTGCTGTCCCCACAGCTCTGTCACAGGGATGAATCATGTGAGATAATTGACTTCAGATTGCTGTTCAAATTGTTGGGTGCCATAAAAATAAATGAGGCGTTAACCTTGAGAAAGATATTAGAGCTTTAATGGAAAAATTTCAGTGTTTGTAATGATGATGCCTCTTTTCTCGTTTTGGTTTTTTTTCCCCCCTAACCTTTTCTCTAGGACACTGAATGCATTTTCTCTTCGTTGCTTCTTTTAACCTTTAACATTCCCATGGGTCAGGCAGGAAAAAATTGACAGTTTGTGTTATTCAGTAATTCAAATTGGACACGCTCTATCTTCAGACAAAAAAAAAAAGTTAGCAACTTTGAACATATAGTTATCCAGATAGTTGTATTTAAAAGGAAATTAGGAAAGTTCTATTGTTTACTGTCATGGATACTAAATGGTGTTTAAAACACTCAACTGTGGGGCGCCTCTGTGGCTCAGTCGGTTGAGCGTCCGACTTCGGCTCAGGTCATGATCTCACAGTTTGTGGGTTCAAGCCCCGCATCAGGCTCTGTGCTGACTGCTTGCTCAGAGCCTGGAGGCTGCTTCAGATTCTGTCTCCTTCTCTCTCTGCCCATCCCCTGCTCACGCTTTGTCTCACTCTGTTTCTCAAAAACAAATAAAATGTAAAAAAAAAAAATTTTCCTAATAAAAATTAAAAAAAATAAAACACTCAACTGTGTTTGCATAAATGATTTTTAAGGTTTATGTCTAAGGCGAGTAAATTTTGATATTTTAAATATTAAATGAAATTTTACCGTGTTTGAGTGAAAGTTTTTTCAGACCAATCCGTTGAATAAAACAATGTTTATTCCCTGGGAGGAGTAGAGATGAGGGGGAGACCGTGATTTCACTTTTTAAAAATTTGCAGTGAGGATTTTATCAACAGATTTTTCCAGCCTTGTATAAGAAAAAGTTGATAATACTGTCAGATTATTTCTTTGGATTCCCAAAATGTATTATTACGAAGATCTCCATGGAAACCTGGCTGTTAATATTTGGGTGCACATGCTGCTTGAGGAGATAAGCTAACATACCAGTAGCTTGGCTTTAGGCTTGACCCTTTTTATGCCAAAATTGAATTAAAAGACTGAATGTGATTGTGCCCGCCTCCTGGTAAACGTGTTCTCTGCCTCCTTCTAGACTGGATCAATCTCAGAGATGGACCCATCACCATATCTGACTCCTCTGATGAGGAAGGGGTTCCCATGCTGGTCACCCCAGCTCCTCAGCAACACGACGAAGAGGACCTGGATGATGATGTCATCCTGACGGAAGTGAGTGTTCTTAAACTTACCCTGATGAGGCATCATTGCAAGTTAGTGATCTGATTCTTCAGCCCCAGGGCAGTGGGAGGTAGGGCCTTGTAGGACGCCTGAGAGCACCGCTCGTGCAGCCTGTGCCGCTGCATGTGTGCTGTCACCCTGCATCTCTGAGAGCAGTACCTTTTTACCCCGCCCAGTGTCCCCATAGCTTTAGAGGCCGTATGTTTTGGTCTGTTTCCGGACTTCTGCACTATTGGCTCTATTTGTGCATGAGTCTGCATTGTTGTAATCATTAAATCTTATCATGCGTCTTAATATCAGGTAGTGTTTATCTCCCCTTTGTAACTCTACATTTTTCAGAATCATCCTGGATGTTTTAGTGCTATTTTTATACAGATCTTGAGGTCAGCTTTTCTAATTCCAAAAGGTAGATAAATTCAGAACACATGTTATTGTTAAGTTTACAGAACAATTTTTATAATACTGACCCTTTCTAACTTTCTCCTTCCATTCGGTCTGGACTTCCTTTATATCCCTCAGCCAGAGTGTTCTGAATTTTTCTTACTATAAATCTTAAACATTTTTTGCTGTTTCTTTCTGGTTATTTTCTCTTTTCTGTCGCTTTTGTAAATGGCATCTTTTTTCCCACTGTTCCTTTTAACCATTTTTCTTTTTTAGTTGAAGAGTCTGTTGGGTTTTATGATAATTTCATACTCAGGTCACCTTATTTTTATTGTCTGTAGTTGTTTTTCAGTTGACCCTATTCTCAAGGGATGGCATCTGATCTAGCTGGAAATAAAGATACTTGCAGTTTCTCCCTTTCCAGTTTTTATATTTTTCTCTTATCTAATTAAATTATACCTTAATAGTGGTAATAGGAATGAGAAAAATACCAACTGACATAAATGGGAATAATTATTTTTTTTACTTTTTATTTACAAAAATTTTTTTACTATTCATTAAAAAAATTTTTTTTTTTAAGTTTTATTTATTTTTAAGACAGGGACAGAGCATGAGTGGGGATGGGGCAGAGAGAGAGGGAGACACAGAATACCAAGCAGGCTCCAGGCTCTGAGCTGTCAGCACAGAGCCTGATGCAGGGCTCGAACTCAAACTGTGGGATCATGCAGATGCTTAACTGACTGAGCCACCCAGGTTCCCCTAAATGGGAATACTTCTAATGTTTCTTCGCTAATTGTGATGGTGGTTTTTGCTTGAGATACCATTTTTAAAGTACATTAAGGAAGGAGCCATCTATTTTAAGGTTGTTTTTTTTTTTTTTAATGCTTATTTATTTTTGAGAGAGAGAGAAAAAATGTCAGTGGGGGAGGGGCAGAGAGAAAGGGTGACAGAGGATCCTAAGCAGGACCTGTGCTGACAGCAGAGAGCCCGATGTCGGGCTCGAACTCAAACCATGAGATCATGACCTGAGCTGAAGTCGGGCACTCCTCCAACTGAGCCACCCAGGTGCCCCTCTTCTTTAAGTTTTTATTATGAGTGAATATAGAATTCTGTCAAATTCTGTTTCAGCATCTGTGCAGATTATCATAGGATTTTCTTTCATCTGTTAAGGTAAATTATTCTGCTGTCTCTGGATAGACTACTTCGGAATAGTATTGTAATGTAATGGTAGTATGCTCTTGAATTTCATTTGATGAGATTTTACTTAAGGTTTTCTTCATAGATCTCATAAGTGAGATTGGCCCATGGATGTATGTGTGTGCCTGTGCTATCCTTGACAGGTTTTCTATAAACGTGATTGATTCGGACTTCATGAAAAGAATTTAGAAGTTTTCTTTGTTCTTCTGTGCTTTGTTACACTATTTGAAATAACATTGGAGTTACCTGAATTTATCATACAGGCATTTGGGGCTGTTGCTTTTCTTAGAGGTCAGTTCTTTGAGACTATCTCAGCTTCCTCTGTGGTCATTGACATGTCTATATTTTCTGTTACTTTTAATACCAGTTTTTTGGTATAATAGATATTTTCTACAAAATAATTTCTTCAAGGTTTTTTAGTGTATTTAGTAAAACAAATTAACCTGTTCTTTCTACATCCTCTATGGTTCCTCCATTTTCCTTTTCTGTTTTGTGTACTTGTGTTTTATCCCCTTTTTCCTGATTTAATGAACTAACCATTATCTTCCTTCCTCCCCTCTTCTCTTACTCTTTTACCAAAGAAATTGCTTTGAGATTTATTTCATAGTGCTACCATTTGTTTTCTTACTAATCAGTTTCTGTTTTTCTCTTCAATACTTTTCTTCTGCTTTAGTATATTTAACATACTTCCTTAGCATTTATCTTATGGTCCTTTTACTAACTTCTTGAGTTATTCATTCTTCTTTTATCCTTTTATATTAATTATTATTCTGGTTACTTATTGCCATGTAATGTATCACCTCAAAACTTAATGCCTTAAGACAGCCGCAGTCGTTTGTTTCTGTGGATCAGGAATTTGAGAAGGGCTCAGCTGGTTGGTTCTGGCTCATGTGACTGTTGTCAGATGGTTCTGGAGCTGGGCAGCAGGGGACTGGAGCAGCTGGAGGCTGGCAGACATTGCTCTCTTCAGGACTTCTACATAGGATCTCTCTACTTTTTTAAAACAACTTTTTTGGGTGCCTGGGTGGCTCAGTCAGTTAAGCATCCAACTCTAGATTTCCGCTTGGGTCATGATCTCACAGTTCGTGAGTTCGAGCCCCACGTCGAGCTCCTCGCTAGCAGTGTGAAGCCTGTTTGGGATTCTCTCCCCCTCCCTCTCTCTGCCCCTCCTCAGCTTGCTCTCTCTCTCAAATAAATAAACTTAGTAATAAGAAACAACAACAACAAGTTTTTTGATGGGGTGCCTGGGTGGCTCAGGCAGTTAAGCATCCAACTTCAGCTCAGGTCACGATCTCACAGTTTGTGAGTTCAAGCCCCACGTCGGGCTTTGTGCTGACAGTTCAGGGTCTAGGGCCTGGAGCCTGCTTCGGATTCTGTGTCTCTGTTTCCCCTCTGCCCCTCCCTTGCTTCACGCTCTGTCTCTGTCACTCTCAAATATTAAAAAAAAAATTTTTTTTTAAACAACTTTTTTGAGATCTAGCTCACATACCATACAGTTCTTCTGTTTAAAGCATACAGTTCAGGGGCGCCTGGGTAGCTCAGTCAGTTAAGCCTCCGACTTCGGCTCAGGTCATGATCTCAAGATTGTGAATTTGAGCCCTGTGTCAGGCTCTGTGCTGCCAGTTCAGAGCCTGGAGCCTGCTTCAGATTCTGTGTCTCCCTCTCTCTCTGCCCCTCCCCCATTCACACTCTGTGTCTCTCTCTCTCAAAAAAATGAATAAACATTATAAAAAAAAAAAGGGTACAGTTCAGTAGTTGTTAGTTTATTTACAGAGTTTTGTACCGATCAACACAGTCGATTTTAAGACATTTTCATTATCCCGAAAGGAAACCCTGTGCCCATTAGCAGTGAATCCTAATTCCCTCCCCACTGCCACGCTAGGCAATCACTGATTTATTTACTTCCTGTCTCTACATACGTGCTTCTTATGGACATTTCATATGAATGGAATCGTACAATATGTGATCCTTTGTGACCAGCCTTCATTTAGCATAATGTCTTCAAGATTCATCTGTCATAAATCAGTACTTTATTCCTTTTTATTGCTGAATAATATTTCATTGTGCGGATGTACCACATGTTTATCCATTCATCAATTGATGGACATTTGGGACGCTTCCACCTGTTGCTCTTATGAATAATGCTGCCGTGAACATTCATGTAGCAGTTTTTGTGTGGACATACCTTTTTGTTTCTCTTGATGGTCTTAGTCCATTCTGGCTGCTATAATAAAATACCACTGACTGGGTAGTTTATAAACACCAAAAATTTAATGCTCACAGTTATGGAGGCTGGAAGTCCAGGATCAGGGTTCCAGCATGGTTGTGTTCTGGTGAAGGTCTTCTTTCTGGTTCATAGGTAGCACTTCTCACTGTGGCTTCATGTGGTGAAAGACGCAGGGGATCTCTCGGAGCCTTTCCCATAAAGGCACCGATTCCATTTGTTCAGGTTCGTTAGGGTGGAGAAGGGAGACCCAGACATTCAGACCATAGAAATCATACACCTAGGAATGGAATTGCTGGATCATATGGTAACTGTGTTTTGCTCTCCTAGACTGTCTTCCAGAGCAGCTGCACTGTTGTACATTCCTCTGGCAGCGTATGACAATTCCCAGTTTCTCCATGTTCTCTCAGACAATTGTTAGTATAGTATAGATCTTTTTCATTATAGCCATCCTTGTCGACATGACGTGGTATCTCATACTTTTGATTTGCATTTCCCTGGGGCTAATGATATTTAGCCTCTTTTGATGTGCTTATTGGCCATTTGTTTATCTACTTTGGAGAAATGCTTATGCAGATCCTGTGCCCATTTTTTTAATGTTTATTTATTTTTGAGAGAGGAAGAGCACAAGCAGGGGAGGGACAGAGAGAGAGAAGGAGACACAGAATCCGAAGGAGGCACCAGGCTTCGAGCTGTCAGCACAGTCCCCAGTGTCAGGCTTGAACCCACCAACTGTGAGATCGTGACCTGAGCCGAAGTCCAACGCTTAACTGACTGAGCCACCCAGGTGCCGCCACCCCCCACCCCGTGCCCATTTTTAAAAAGGGTTATCTTTATATTATTGAATTTTTATATATTCTGGGTACTGTACCCTTATCAAATACCTGATTTTCTCTCATTCTGTGAATTGTCTTTTTATTATTTGATAGTGTCCTTTGAAGCTTTTTTTTTTTTTCCTTTGAAGCTTTTATAACAGTTTTAAACTTTGATGAAATTCAGCTTATTCTTTTGTCAATTGTTTTGGTGTCACGTCTAACATATGATCTATTTTAAGGGCAGGTAGAGGCCTCAGCGCTAATATAGATTAGTGCTTTAAAGTCTTCCTAGATAATGTAAAGACTTTAGAACACTTGAATTCTACTTACTCATCTCCCAATTTACATATTGTTTTTTAAATATACTTTAATTGTGTATACATTTTTAAAACCCTACACAATGCGTTCTTGATTTTATACAATCGGCATTCACTTCATCTTCTCCAAATATTTACCTTTCTTGTTGCTCTTCATTCCTTTCTGCATCTCTGGTCTTACAAACAGATTCTTCTTCTATCTCAAGAACAGTCTTTAGGATTTCCTTTACAGTAAATCTGGTATTTTCATTGAATATAAAATTCTTTGTGGCAGTTACTTGCCTTTAACACTAGAAAGATGAAAGCCAGAAAACAATGGAATAATATTATTCCATTGTTTTCTGGCTTTCATTTTTATGTTGAAAAGTCAGTCTTTATCTTTGGAAGGCAGTATGTGCTGCTGCTTTTAAGAATTTATCTTGTATTTGATTTCTGAAGTTTTGCGGTGCTATTGTTAGGTTTCTCTTGTTTGGGGTTTTTTAATTCATCCTGCTGAGATCTTTAAAACAAATCAAGCACTGTCCTTGGCTATTTGTATTTTGTTTTCAAATACTGCTTATGTCTCTCTTCTTTCAGAACTCACTTACATAGATGGTAAAACCTTTTTTTCTGCTATATTCTTTATTTCTACTGTTTTCTTACCTAATTTTCAATCATTTTGTATCTGTGCCTTATTTAGGCTGTTTTCTTCTGACTTCTCATTCAATTTACTGTTTTCTCTTTGACTACTTTATTTTATTTTTTAAATGTTTATTTTCGAGAGAGAGAGAGGGAGAGCGTGCAGGGGCAGAGAGAGGGAGACAAAGGATCCAAAGTGGGCTCTGTGCTGACAGCAGCGAGCCTGATGCAGGGGCTTGAACTCACTAACCGTGAGATCATGACCCAGGCCGAAGTCAGACACTTAACCAACTGAGCCACCCAGGCACCCATGTAGTACTAATTTTCTAATTATGTTCTTCATCTGCCATTTCTTTTTTTTTTAAGTTGGGTATCTTTATATAGTTTCTAGTTGATTTTTGTTACTCAATTTTGAATGAAGCTGAAGTTTTCCAGAACCAGCTCTTTGTAGGCAATTGTGTTGGGAAGGGGCTCAGGCACTGTTCTTGGCTGGCAAGAGCTCTCCCTCTTAAAACAGAGGGTGTGTGTGTGTGTGTAGGCAGGGGGGTGTTTGTGCACATGCACGTAGGTTTATTTAGCCTTCACTTTTTACCACCTGGCAGAGATTGCTGATTCCAGAGACGCCCATTTCAAAGTTCTGTCCATCCTGTCTCTTTGATATCCTACCTTTCAACAGAGGTGTTTGTCCTTGTACAGTCCAACCTCCTCAGAAACTCCTCGCTGCCGAATGGGGTAGAGGTGCCCTTTGTTCCAAACAAGGTATTGGTTTTGCCCTTCCAGGGCACACCACCTTTTTGGGAAAAATCTCTGCCTTTCTGATGCTTTCTCTGCTTTGCCTGAAATCTGTGGTTGTGCTTCCCTCACTGCATTTTTCTGCTCCTCCTCATATATGTTATGATTGGGGATTACAGATGTCTGCTGGTTTCATCAGACATTTTCAGTTGTGTCTCATTCTCCTCCCTGGGACAGGGTGATTTCAGAGAAGAGAAGGGTCAAAGGCATCTGTATTCTGCTACCTTAAAATAGACATCCGTTTCAATTTTTTACATTTACAAGTAACACGTGAAATTCAAACAATCCAGATAAACTAAAGTCTGTTTTCAGCAGCCCCTTCCTCTCCAGAGATTTCCCTGAGGAATTGCTGTTATCAGTTTGACATGTTTTCTTCCAGATCATTTTCTTTGAGTGTGAGTGAGTGAGTGAGTGTGTGTGTGTGTGTGTGTGTGTGTGTGTGTGTGTTACACATATATGCTTTTAGAAGTGGTTATGTTTATGTCTTGTGTTTTGATTTTTTAAAATAATCATTCTGGGGGCGCCTGGGTGGCGCAGTCGGTTAAGCGTCCGACTTCAGCCAGGTCGCGATCTC